TTTTCACGTAATTTTTCAATATTTCATAGCCAGATTTTTTGAGCAAAATTTTGGTGTTAGTTTTTGTAGCACGTGATAACAAGAACTTAAACCTATAATAAGCTTCGGAGTACAATATTTCAATTTATTGGGAACCGAATCTTTAAATTCTTTCGCAACAACCAAATCATGCCACTCATTTTTGTTTACCGCTGTTAAATTTTTTTCGCATTTTATGCATGTTTCTATTCCTTTCAATTGTTTAACAACAAAACCACTTACGTAGCCCATGCTAATTTTATCTATATAAGAAAATTCCGGTCCCGGGCTAATCAATAAATTTTCGTCAATTGTTTCTATTTCTTCGGTTTCGTCATCTTCAGATAGGCCTTGCGTTATAAATTGTCTGACGGACGTTAGAATTTCTTCGGAATTATCAATTTCACAATTTGCAGAAATAGAATGAGTAGTAGTTAAATTATTAAACAAAAGAGTTTTAAAATGATTTTTAAATTGGGTCACCGTAGGATTTGTATTTCGAGCTCCTTGTTGACGAATTTGTCCGAAAAAATTTTCTAACGGGTCTTGATTGAAAACCCGAGGCTTAAAAAACGTTAAACCATGACTTTTCAAAATTTTGAAAATTTCTTCGAATCCATTTAAGGTGATTTCCCAATTTTTTAAACTTGGCGGAATAAACTTTTTGCCTCCTTTCTCAAAATGCATATTTCGTAGATTATTTCTCGCGCATTGCCAGAACTTTAAATGTTTGGATCGTTCTGTTACTGCACATCTCAAAAAATTCCTTTTCATGGGCTTTAACACCCTTTCGTTTACACTATCAAACAATTTGTTAAAAAAACTAAGGACCTTAGAAGTGCCAATCGCTTCCTCGTCTAAGCCACTGTCTCCAATTTTTGTCATTAGTCCCAGAACCGATGCAACTGTATGGCTAAAAACTTGAGCAGCACATGAGACCTTTATTTTCCTAATTTTTTTGGGATTAACATGACCCTCGGTAAGTTTTGGCATAGCACGTAGATCGCTCGAACACTTGTCCAATTGGTATGCTCTCTGGATGTCTGACCATTGCGCACTTAATGGTTCTTTGTCTTGTATTTTCCAAATTAGTTTATATTTTAAGAGATTATTGCGAATTCCTTTAAGAAGATGCGGAGGATCATATATGTGGATTATTTTCTGCTCGTTAATTTTAAAAAATTTGATTTTGTCTCCAATTTGAACATTAGTTCCAATAGAAGATTTCATTAAATAATTAATCACTGCCTGATTATTCGTCCCTTGGTCACTTTCTGAGGCTATAATTTTTAATCCTGCGTCTTGACACTGTTTTACAACTTGTTTAATTATTCTCGCCAAATCTATTGTTTTCACCGGACCGCTGGAGAAGGTGTACAGAAGGGGCTGTTTCCATTCCCTTTTTATACCCTTAATCATGAAAACGAGAGCCCTATCAGCAATTTTTTCGCTCTTTTTCTCTCCAAAATCCTCAAACCCTTCAAACTCTTTTGAATGCGTGTTCAACGATATATGTGGTTCTATGGAAATTTCGTCAAACATTAGGACACATAGTTTTTCTTGCTGTTTTAAGCCTTTAACTTTTGCGTTTAAGTTGTCAAATAGTGCCTCATTGTAACCCGCTTTAATCGGTATTCTATTGAGTAAGGCCATTATAGTTTTTTTCGAAGGCATAGGAAATATTTTAGAAAAGAGTTTATATGCTCTGTTACTTTGTTTGTTCAAGATGAGACCCATAATTTTGTCATCCAATGTATATCTTCTACCATTAGGATGCACATCGGCTAATCTAATCTGGGTCTTTACGAAATTTGCAACCGTCCGATTCAAAGGCGCTGTCACCTTTTCAACTAGTTCTTCTTTCGAAATTTTTGTCACTTGCTTTTTTTATAAAAATTTTTGGTTTTTGTAAGGCGACATACCTTTCTCCTAAGTTTTTTTGTTAAATTGTAAAGTTTTTTTGCTTCTTCAGGAAGCTCTTTGCTGTACGTAACTCCTGCGATTTTTAAGATTTTTGAAGGAACTTCGTTAACCGATGCAGAGCTTGATGATCTTTTTAAAATGCGTCTTTCACTCAAGGATGGAACTGGGATGGAATCGGGACTGATTTGCTCGGAAGCGGGATCATTTATGGGGTCTGCAATAATAAATAATTGTAGATTCGCCAAAATGTAGTTTTTATTTCACCATGAAAAAGAGAGAAATACGTAAATATGTAAATTTTACCTGCAACCGTGTCTTCTTGAGAAGGAACAGGATCTAAATTTGAATCTGATACAGGAGAATGGAGAGGCAAAAAAAGACTTGGCAACACATCCTTTTTCAGCAACATATTAGAAGACCGATCTTCCACAAGAAAATGCCTGTCACAAATACGGTGGGAGCAATACACCAGGTCTGCATTCTTAACATGAAGATCTTTATCTCCGCAAAGCTCAATCCATCGTTCAAAACGGCTTTTGAATTTACGGGGATTTGGAAAGCGATAGTTAATAATAAAATTCCATATCTTCAAATTAAACAAATATTTTTACCTTATAAAGTCCTTAATTGAACGGGGAACAAACAGTAAAACAAGAAACACCAAACAGCAACACAAAAACAACAATAAAGAGAACGCGAACACCAAAAATATATATAAAAGTAACAAAAACAAAACTAACAGAGCAAATTAATCGAAAAACTCTGGCTCAAAGACCAAGATAGCAGAACAGAACGGTTGGGAAAGCTCGGGAATCAAGACGATAATTAATTTTCGACGTTTCAAGTTGTCAAAGTAACCGAAGCGCTTTTATTTATTATTTTCATAGATATTGTTTTAAATTTAAAAACATGCCGCCAGCACCTCTCGTGGACTGTTCCCCGCACTAAAACGCATGCCCATTTCAATCCTTTGAAGTTCCCGCCCCATGGTTTCCATTTTGACCGCTGTCGATTTAGATTTGATCTGGCTTGATTTCGAATTAATTTTCTTTCCGCGACTATTAGTGAGTGATTTATTTGCTTAAAATATCAATCATGAGTGATTCTGAAAGCGAAAATGTCGAAGTCGAACACGCATGGAATTTAAAATAAAAAAAATCTTGAATGCATGATTACTTACCGTTCAGCTGAACAGTAAGTAATTTACTTACCGTTCGCCTCTTATTAGTTGTTAGTCGTAGCAACCCGTAAACTGAACTTACTGCTATGGAAACCTATACGGTAAATGATCGAAAAAGCGATTGTCGTACAAAAATAACTATTATAAACTACTCCTATTAAAAACTCTAGAAAGTCCAATATTTGAAGAAACATCGTATGAGCTTTAGACGTATTGCCTTGGAAACGCACGTCAGCATGGCACTTGTCATAGTATTTACTGTGTTGTCTACTTCTGTCATTTAGATTTTTCGATTTATCGTTTTCGATGTACTGAAATGAGTGTGGCGCAAGCTATATTACTGATGAAGCAGCAATTGTAAGTGAAAATTTACCTGAATCAATTTTGGCTGTCATTTGAACTTATAATAGTTTAAAATGTTTAAAATACATGGCTGTATGATCAAGAGCAGGGCTGTAAAAATTTTCTGGCTAACCAGTAAAATTTTTACAGGCTATAGCCAGTTAAGTGACATTTTCATGTTGAATACAGTGACTTACTTGGTAAATGATGTTTACAAGTGACGAACAAATAAAAATTTTAACTTTTAAATTCAAATAATAACAAATTTCATGTAATATACCTGGGTAGAATTATTTTCAGACGTAATGTACGTAAAGATGGCAACAGATAATTTAACTTGATTCATAGTAGAATTTAACAAATATCATGACTCCAAGTTTGCATTCTACGTCACTGTCAATTTTGAGTCAAATAAGTGTTCAAATGGCGACAAATTTGTACGCTCACAAATATTCCGAACGTAGACATCCAACAGATAAAATTTTCAAGGCTTGAAATTAAATTATAAACATTTGGCCTGTAGGTAAAGGAAAAAGTGTTTTAACCGATACATATTTAGGCAACGAGACTTGAGTTTTTGAAAATGTTTGCTTTTCACATTGGACAACGGGCAATTGCGAGAGACATTATTTGTGTAAGTCAGTCTTCTGTTTGTCGGATGTTAACAAGTTCCATCCGTATAATGTACAGTTGAAAACGTGAACTACACTGACTTTTCACGAAGATTAGCATTTGTAACTTGTTCGGGGACAACTGCTAAATGATATCATTTCTGTCAGGAACATTTTATTTAATGATAAGTCTAAATTTTCCAACAATGGCACTGTAAACAAACATCAAAATATATTTGTTTATCTCCCCCAAAAAACTGATGTCATCTCAAAATGTTGCCGAATAAATTCTATCTAAAATGTGCAAAACATGATGAGTCTATACTTTTGACTTATCATTGCACTCATATTTTTTTGAAGAATTGCGTATAGAGGGACGACTCAAAAAAATTAATCAATGTGTTAGTCTATTTTTTTCTTTAAATTAAAAGTTACAAAGCCGAATGCTCTGAAATCCTGCAGATGGTTTAAAGTTATTAAAATTATGAGGTCATCACGAAATTTTATAAAGTAAAAACTCATTGGAAATATACGCCTAGCACGCTTCTTCATATTTACTTTAACATTACATACATATATTTATTTGGACTTATAGTGATTCTCATAAAAAAAACAAAATTCGCAACATCAAATTTTATAGTTTTTCGAGAATACTATTTTATTTTCAAACAATTAACATACTTTTGAAACGATTATATCCTGTCTTCTTGCTTCATTAAAAAATTGGCTTGCACTGACTTACCGTGGTTACTAAGATTAACAACCACGATGATTTTCACATAAACGTATTCTGTTTATACTCTGGTTCGCTGTCATAGAAATGAGACTTAAACTTGGGTAACAACGTCATATAATAAGTAGTGTCAGTTATATGACGTTTGAAAATACAATTTTTATAGTTAACTTATACACATATATTATTTTAGTGGGCAGCCAATACCAAAGGTGCAGTATACACCTGAAGAAGTGAAAACCTGGTAAGTAAAACTTTTGTTAACACCATCTGTAGTCTACATCCACAACTAGTTTAACCTTTGGTTACATGCTTGAGTATAGATTTTTATTTCATTGAGACATAATTTAATTTCATAGTTTAATTTTATGGAAAAAACATGATAATTTTTGCCTGGTGAGGGTAAGCTAAGGAAGTATTGTAGTCGAGTGCCTCAGGCGACTAGCTAATTTCATTCTTTCTCAATGTGTCATATCCCCTAGAGTACGAAAAAGTAGATCACTCATTTCCTTTTGTCTGTCTATCCGCTAACTATGTCGATGTTTGTTGGGTAGATAACTCCGAAACGATCGACTGTTGTCAAATTTCACATGTGTGGATATAAATATCGCGTAGATGCTAAAACGTCAACCAAACCTCATCTAATCATCTCCACCAACAATGTGATATCGTCACCTCAAAATTGTAGATAAATGAGTTTTCAATTTTATAAAATGCTCTTAACATATTACTACACGTGCAGTTTCTGAATCCGTGTGGAGCTGATACCCCACATATCCAGATTTCTGGAAAAAATCAAAATTATATAACAACACTTTGTATTTTAACCTTGAAGCTGGTAAACTGAATGCTCTAAAATTTTGCAAACGTTTTAAAGTTAAGCATGGTAAATTGTTAATCAAAATTTACTCTTTTATCGCTTCCCAGAAAGTTAACGACGTCATCCCAAAATTGTGTCCAATAAATTCTACCTAAAATATGCAAAACAATTATATACTTACTTATGGTTTATCGACGCATTCACAGTTTGTTGAATTACTTATATACATATAATATACACATGGTGAGTCAAAAAAATTAATAAATGTGTGAAAATATTTTCCTGAACAGTCAAGAACGGCTTGCCTCATTTGCTCCAAAATTTGAGTATGCAGTACTGTCCTTATTAGTATTATTAGTATTAAAAATTAGCAATACTATTTTTTTCTGACAAAAAATTTCAAACATTATTTTTCTGTCATGTCAAAAATTTTAATGTAGTCTATGCTTTATTGTCATTATTTTGGACAACTGTAATGTCAAATTTTCAAAATTCAAATTTGATGCGCATGCCAACATGCCAGCGGTACCAGAAGCGAACAAAATTAAAGCTATTTATTTCAATCGAACTGCTATGACATACAGTCAACTATCCGAAGTATTGGGAATACCAAGAAGTACCATTCACTCCATTATAAAAAAAAATGAGAAGGACAATTACAATTGACAGACAACGAGGTTTAGAAACATGTCGTACCTCAGCACTTGAAGAAGATGAAATCTTAGTGAACTTGGTGGGAAACAGACCCTTTACCACAGCTGTTGAAGCTGTAAAGGTTTACCCACTTTCCTGCCAGGGTCAGAAACGCGCAACTTCGTCTGAAGCAAAATGGATTGCGGAATCATGTTGCTGCCAAAAAAATGCTTCTTATGCTTCGGCATCGGAAAGCAAGGGTAGGATTTGCACTGAAACATTTAACTGGAGACGAAGCTTTTTGGAGCAGAGTTGTCTTTTCAGACGAAAAAGTTTTTCAGTTGTCTCGCGACAGTTGCATAAAAGTCTATAGGCCTCGAAATAACCGCCACAATGAGCGATACGTGGCTACCAATGAGTAAAACATACGGTTTTCGGTAAATATCTAGGCATGGATTTCTGTCAGCAGTGCCGGCGTCAAGCTCCATAGAGAAGAGCGATTAAATAGCGACTTCTGCATCCAGATTCTCCAAAAATGCCATGCTGCTATCGCTTAGAAGTGTCTTCCCAAATGATGAATTTATATTTCAACAAGATAACTGCCGAGTTCATACTGCTCATAGAGTAGCAGCGTGGTTCGTGGTTCATGATGTAAAATCGCAGCCCAAACCTCAATCCTGTTGAGAATATGTGTGGTCTGTTGGTAAAAAAAACTGCGGCGCCAACGTTAAATTTTTAATAGCAATCTATGCCTTTCGATGCCCAGACGATTGGCTAAGGCTGTAGAAGCTAATGGGGCCATGACAAAACATTAATTGTTTTATTGTTATATTTATTTATGTAATTTACTTAATAAACTGTTATAATTTTGTGTGATAGTATCAAATAACTTATTTACAGTTTTTTGATTTGCCATCTTAGGTTGATTGATTTTATTTTCAGTTTCACAAGCGAATGCACGTGGAACTGTAAACAGACCTCAAATTTTAAAGGCAAATCCGTTATTTAGATTTTGAAAAAAATAATCTATAAATATGCAGTGTACTCAAGAGAATTAATTCTACTTCTTTTAAAATTACCACAATAAATGTGTTACTTCTGATTCACTTCGTTACACCTTCATGTGAGAGTCAAGTGTAATAAAAGTTAAAAATGTCAAATATTTAGGTTAGAAACACCTAAAGATTGCTTTACACTATTTGACGACTGAATGACATTGACGTCTGAAAATTTTAGGAATACTTACAATACTGTTATTTTTAGTATTACACTGCACCAAGTTGCTAAAGTGTCAAAATTTTGTTATGGAAAAACTCACTTGAAACAAACACATAATATGCTTCTTTACCTGTACTTTAACAATCCACACATATCTTTATTTTAACTAATAGGGGTTATCATAAAAAAATATAATTTGCAAATAGTTATTTTTGATTCTAGAATGTGAAATGATTCTTTTGCATTTGAGAATGCAAGTTATTTTGCGATTTTATTTTTCCAAAATACAAAAGCATTTCGCAAGCGAGTATCAAACACCGTATGACACCTAACAAGAATTATTGTCGATTTCGAAATTGCGACTATCAACGCAATCAAAACAACATTCGGCGCAGGAACTGAGATTGTTGCGTGCTCATTCCATCTAAGCCAGAATTTGTGGCGAAAATACAGCAGTTTCATCTGACCGAACGATACAAAAACAATGCGGATTTCAGGTTGAACTGTGTTTATTAAGTTGTTGTGTTATTATTGTTCCTTCTTAAATGCATACATATATGCGGTATTTCAGTGTGTGTATTTTTATTTATTTACTAGCTGACCCGGTGAACTTCGTTTCACCTACAATTTAATTTTGCATCTGCAAAACCGAATGCTTTGAAAACTTGCAGATGTTTTAAACATATGATAAGCATAATAAATTTTTATTCAAAATATATTTACTTATCCCCTCCAAAAAATTGATGAAGTCAGCCCAAAATTTTGCCAAATGAATCCTATCTAAAATGTCCAAAATAGGATGAGACTATACTTGTGATTTAGCATTCCATTCATATTTTTAGTTCCCGAGCATAAGCAAAGGAAGTATTGTAATCGAGTCCGTCGGCCGACTCTCTACTTTTACGTTTCCTCGATCTTTCATGACCCCTAGAAGACGAAGAAATAGGTCTCCCATTTCCGTCTGTCTGTCCGTCTGTCCGTCTGTCTGCCGTCCCGGATTTTTATTAGACAGAAAATCTCCGAAAGTACTGGACCGATTGTTGTGAAATTTTGTAGTTATATTACGAATATCATGTAGATGGTAAAACGCTAACCAAAATTTGTCTAATCATCCCCACCACTAATGTGATGACGTCACTTCAAAATTGTACATAGTAAATGGGTTTTAAATTGTATAAAATAATATAGTCCTAAACATGTATTTTACGACTCCGAATTGAGTTTTTACCCGAAACGTCCAGATTTTTGGAAAAAAAATCAAAATTATAAAACAACATTTTGCAATTTAATTTTGAATCTGCTAATCCCAATGTTTTGAAATGTTGCAGATGTTTTAAGGCTAAAGAGCATCATAAATCTTTACTCAAAATATATTTGGATATCCCCTCCAAAAACTTGATGACGTCAGCTCAAAAGTTTGCAAAATAAATCCTATGTAAAATGTACAAAATATGATGAGTGTGCTTGTGCTATATCACTCCATTCATATTTTTTGGATTTGCGTATACAGGGTGACTCAAAAAAATTAATGAATGCGTAAATTTATTTTACTGATTTACTCAGGAACTACAAAACCGAATGCTTTGAAATCTTGAAGGTGTTTTAAAGTTATCATAAGCATGGTAAGTTTTTGATCAAAATGTATTTGCTCATCCCCCCTAAAAAATTTATGACGTCACCACAAAATTTTGCCGAATAAATCCTATCTAAAATGTACAAAATATGGTGAGTCTTTTCTTGTCATTTATCATTCCAATCAAATTTTTTCGATTTCCATATACAGGGTGACTCAAAAAAATTAATAAATGCGTGAATTTATTTTATCGAGTTAATCAGGAACTACAAAACCGAATGCTTTGAAATCTTGCAGATGTTTTGAGGTTATAAAGAGCATAATAAATGTTTAGTCAAAATATTTTTGCTTATCCCCTCCAAAAAATTGATGACGTCAGCTCGAAAGTTTGCCGAATAAATACTATCTAAACTGTACAAAATATGATGAGTCTGTACTTGTAATTTATCACTCCATTCATATTTTTTGGATTTGCATATACAGGGTGTCTCAAAAAAATTAATGAATGCGTAAATTTATTTTATTGATTTACTCAGGAACTACAAAACCGAATGCTTTGAAATCTTGAAGGTGTTTTAAAGTTATCATAAGCATGGTAAGTTTTTGATCAAAATGTATTTGCTCATCCCCCCTAAAAAATTTATGACGTCACCACAAAATTTTGCTAAATAAATCCTATCTAAAATGTACAAAATATGATGAGTCTTTTCTTGTGATTTATCATTCCATTCATAGTTTTTGGATTTGCATATACAGGGTGACCCAAAAAAATTAATGAATGGGTTTATTACTATTTTTAGTCAAAATATATTTGGTTATCTTCTACAAAAAACTGATGACGTCAGCTCAAAAGTTTGCCGAATAAATCCTATCTAGGATATACAAAATATGATGAGTCTGTACTTGTAATTTATCATTCCATTCATATTTTTAGAATTTGCATATACCGGGTGACTCAAAAAAAAAATTAAATCTACTGCGAAAAAAAACAATAGACATG